GGCTGGAGCAAGTTTGCTGGCAGGGTTGGTGACCTTGTGGGGGACCCACGCTGGAGCAGTCCGTTCCTGAAGGACTGCCCCCCGTGGAAAGGATGGGCTCATGCTGGAGCAGCTTGTGAAGAACTGCAGCCCGTGGGAAGGACTCACACTGGAGAAGTTCGTGGAGGACTGTCTCCCGTTAGAGGGACCCCAGGCTGGAGCAGGGGAAGACTGTGAGGAGTCCTCCCCCTGAGGAGGAAGGAGCGGCAGAGACAGCATGTGATGAACTGACCCCAGCCCCCATTCCCCATCCTCCCGTGCCGCTGGGGGGAAGGAGGTAGAGAAAAAATCAGGAGTAAAGTTAAGCTCAGGAAGAAGGGAGGGGTGGGGAGAAGGTGTTTTAAGATTCAGTTTTATTTCTTTCCTACTGTGATTTGATTGGTAACGAATTAGAGTGGTTTTTCCCAAGTCAGGCCTGTTTTGCCTGTGATTGTAATTGGTGAGTGGATCTCTCCCTGTCCCTATCTCGACCCAGGAGCCTTTCATTATGTTTTCTCTCTGCTGTCCAGCTAAGGAGGGGGAGTGATAGAGCAGCTTTTGGTGGGCACCTGGCATCCACAATGTGTCTTGCCATCCAATGAAGAAGAGATGTCTTTTATTCAAAGCCACCTTTTCTTTACCATCTTTTCAGTAAAGAAGACAATATCTACCTAAAGAGACAAGAGCTTATACCGTGTTCTACTGCTTTGTGCTAACTTGAGTTTTTGTATCTTCTCTCCTGCCCATACAAAGTCTTGCTGCTCCATCCTTGACCCCACTCTCTGGGCTTCTCCTTTTGCTTCTCCGTAGGGATCCTTGATCCCTAGCACTCTAGTCCCCAGCTCTTTCTCAGTCCCCCTCCAGATTGCTGTCACTTACTCTTTTGCTGAGGCTTTGCTGCTGCCTTGTTGACTTTTACCCCTCAAGTGCTGTCACTGTATTTCTGCCTTCATTCCTTCTGTTGCTACTGTGCTCATTCCTTCATATAAGAAGCAATCCCAGGATCTTTTGGTAAACAAACTGCATGTTTATTACAGATTTCTTCCCATGTATCTCTTTTCCATTTTCTCATCTTATGTGACCATTCCAAGACTGATAGCTCCCCTTTGAAAGAATAGAGAAAGGAAACAATGGATGGACAGTCACATAACAGAAAACTAATTCACCCATGAGAAGCCACTGTTTTATGTTCACAATGGGCAGCTTTTTAGATGTTTAAAATTACACTGATCCAACTGCTATCTATAATCCAAAGCTAGCTTCAAAAGAGTACTCAGTCTGAGAAACTGGTGACAGCTTGGGTTTCCAATGTGCGAAAGACACAAATATCTGAAAAGTAACAGGGTACCAACTTAAAAATTCTGATTAATTTAAGCCTTTGTTTTGACCTGATTTCTCATACATTTAATGACTTGAAAACTGCTGAATAAAATTGTTAAATCTTGTATTATGTGAGTGCAAGAATTCCATATACATTTTTATCAGTGTGGTTCATATTGAAATAAGCTAGGAAGTAATCAGAATGTTTTGATTTAAAAAAAACCACCCCAAACCAAACCAACAACACCCCC